GTTTTATCTAATGATTTGATTTAAGGGATGACTTGAGAGCTGCAGGTAACTAAACTTTTTCCGGCTACATCAGTAGAAGGATATTTCTGCTGATAAAAGAGTAAACAATAGTGGACCTTCTGATTTCTGAATTACCTGTAGTACAGCAGATATAGCTTTTAGAAGTAGGGAAATTGATTGTGCAGTATATTTTGGTAAAGTCGGGCTCTATAGTCTGTTACAGTGCCATAATTATTCTAATGTGGTGAATAATTATATCTTAGTGGACTTGCTTAAATATAAGATGTATCGACAGCTGCTGCTTCATGGCTATTTCAGGGATAGATTTTTTTCTCCCTTTTTCGTTTGCAGTGGGGGAGTATGTGGTAGATGACATCCCTTTCCTCCCTTTGCATGTTTGTAATGAACTCAACTATGAATATGATAGCTTTGAGGAAATAAGGTTCACTTGTCGTTTAGAACTAAGCTAAAGCAAGCAAAATTGAACTAGGGACAACAGAATTGGATCTTTATTCATTACATATGTTCTCAGTGATATAATAACAACGTATCTAATGACATTCTGCAAGTTGAAAAGATTGTAATACACGAGATGCCCATCAGATGCCAAGCTCTTAAACTGACCATTTTTGTTTCTTGTTTGGACACTAAAACATCCGTCAGCTGCCACTCAGAATAATTTTCTTTGTACCACTTAAACAAGCCCAATTGTCCATCTCTGACACAGATATGTTGTCCAACAATGGAGAATATCGATCTATAATGTCAGGAAGCTGCATAAAACATAATTTAAGATAAGGTCCAAGCACCTATGAGTTAATACAATGAAATAAGATATTGGTGAGAAGTGTTTGCAAAGACAAATGAGAAGTTTATGTGACCGCATGGTTTCCCAAGTTCAATGAATTTAGCAAAAACAGTTTGGTCTAGGTCTGACTTGATCTATTCTACACCCTACGGGTATGTTCACTCAAAAGGGTAAATGCACTTTTGAGTGTTCAGCAGCTGGCAGATATTGAAAACCAGTGAAAGACTGGAACGAACGGACGCTACATGAAATTTGTATATACACAAAATCAAATCATGTGCTCTCTCAGCGGAAGAACACTCTCAAGATAAAGTTGTAGGTAAACATCAAATTTCAGCTTTGAGCAACCCCATAGTTATTATAATCAACCAGTCCGATCAAATATGTATTTTTAAATCATGCCAATCAAAGTTAATCAACTAAGCTAGGAAGGTGCACCTTAGCATTTGATTCATTGATTGATGTATAATTTTTCTGTTTAAAAAAACAGGCTCGAATCCTTCCTCCTTCAATTATAACAAAAAAAAAAAGACACCTAAGCTACGAAGATACCTGATCAGATAGAATACCAGATAGACCAATTGCTGCCCCAGGCTTAGCACGAGAGACAATATCATCCGCCAATTCTAGCAAAGGGTTTAAAAGTATATTTGCGATGATCACATCGTATTTTTCTGATTCAGATTCAACTACTGGCTCACATAAACTCTGGTTTTCATCATATTTCTGTTCATCAATTGAAGGGGAGGAAGTATTGCCAGAAACCAGGCGCAATTGCAATTTTTCAGGTCCTATGTTGTTCAGAGCGGCATTCTGACGTGCAGATGTTATTGCTAGAGGATCTATATCAATTCCAACAGACAAAGAAGCACCAAACTGCAGTTCACATCATTATTGAGAAATTAGTGTGTGAGGATCAGCTAGCACACCATATTGCCACACTATTGACAAGAATTCTAAATCACATGTGACATTAAATGTGTTAAGATTCACATGTGAGCATATCATCTCATAGCAAGAAGATATGAGAAAAGTAGGAGACATATACGCATGGAAGATGTATTAGAAAACTCAAAATTGATCAAATATTTATCCAAGATCTATTATAAACTACATATAATAGAATAAATGGTTACAAAAATGGAATGAAAGGTGAAACCAATATTGGCACCTAGAAATGTTTACTGATAAGTCAGATTAACAAGGTTTTATTATAGTTACCATTTCAATGATATAATGAAGACTTAAGTACCTTAAGTGCTGCAATTGACAAAATCCCAGAACCTGTGCCATAATCCAAGAAGCGTTCTCCTCCTTCTATCAATCTTTGTAGCAGCAATAAACACAATCTAGTAGTTGGGTGCTCCCCAGTTCCAAATGCCAATCCAGGATTCAGAATAATATTCATTGCTTGAACATCCTAAAGGAATGAAAACAAACACATTTATACTTGTTGAATTCACCCAAAAAATAAACATTCTTCCATGGACACAGAAAATAAGAGTTTTACTCTGTACGAACATTGAGGTGATTATCTGACGATTGACATGTGCAAATGTAAACACAAGCTTTGATTTATATAGATGCTTAGCTAACTGGCAATATTGTCCCCACTTAAAAAGGAGTTTAAATTAAAGACCTACTACAGTCAAGAAGGTCCACTGGATTCTGAAGAAATGGTAAAGAGGGCAGTTGTGTATGTCTGATAAATACAGAATACAACAAAACCTTAAGAGAAGGTAATTGGATATAACCATACCGGGGGAGTCTTCCACTCGGGAACAATCCAAAGTCCTTCAGTAACTTCAATTGAATCAAATGATTCCTGTCTCAAATCAAAACAAAGATTCAAATTATATTATGAATGAAGTTAGATTTATCATTAGAATAGCCAACTCTATATGTCCTGTTTTTTTTCTCCTTATAAGGCACAAGTTATTACCGTAATTAAAATTCTATAAGAAAATAAAACAATTTTTTTTTCTCAATTATTGCCACACACGCAGCGGTGCCTTGAAAAGCTAATTGTACCAAGCCAGAGAGAATGAGAAAAGTAAACTAACCTGAGTTTTCTTTATCCAGTCATATTGCTCACCTGTTTTAACTTCATAACTTGGTATCTCTTTTAAGCCAAGAGAATCAGCAGCCTGTGAGATGCATACATCCACATCTTCGGATTCGGGAAATATGGACTCGATGCATAACTGCATAAGAAATACCAATTATACAAAATTTGTTCTTTAAAAACATCTTTCAAAAACCTATTCTTAAAACCTTTAATTAAGAAGCATATTCACAAGCTTGGTCACTCACTCTTCTTGCACAAGAACCTTGAAAACAACCCAAAAAAACCCATACTTTACAGTCAAAATCTTGTCTTCAAGGAAAAGAAAAAAAGGGGTAACCTCTTTAGAAGTGTCACAATTGTTATCTTCATCCACAGTGGTTGAACTTGCACCAAAGCACATAAGAGCTTCAGAAAACATATCCTAAACAAACCCAAACCCAAAAATAAATAAATAATTCATCTATACAACAAAACCCAAAAAAGAAAATGCCATTGAAATTAAAAGCTTACAGCAATCTCTTTTTGACATTGAATACGCACAGAGATATAAGGACATAGTAAGGTAGAAGCTTGAGGTTCAGTTACAGAAGTGTAACCATGAGAAAATGGAAGAGAAGTCTCTGCAGGAATTAATGGTTGGGTTTTGGGGTTGATGTTTGTGAAGAGGAGAGTGAGAGGTGCGTGAATGAAACGGTGTGAGAGAGTGGAGAATCCATAGCTAGAAGTTAAGGTAAGGTGTTTGAAGATGTGTCTCAATGACATTTTCTTTAAAGGTTAGAGCTTGGGATTTTTGAACGTTTAGTTGGTTGGAATCCTTGGCGGTAAATGGGTCATATAAAAAAAAATTAATATTAAAAAAAATATATTACTGTATTCTTAAACTCCACAAAAAAAAAAAAAAAAAGAGAAAAAAATTACACTCCCAAAAAATGGTCTTTTCCTCCAACCCATTATCTCTCAGTGTCCCCGACCCAACCTTCGAAACATGGCTCCGTGACTCCGGCTACCTCAACGTCATCGACGACCACCAGTCCGCCGCCGCAGCCACCGACCGTTCCTCAACAATTACCGAATCGACTACCAACATCCCGATCACCGGCTTCCTTTGGGGCTATTTGGTCTCTTTTTTTTCTCATTTATGGATTCTGCTCTCCCTTTTCACGCTTAACCCATTCTCCAAGCTCACCACCAACGATTTCTCCGGCGAAACTCCGTCTTGGACTCAAGGGTTTTTCGGGGATTGTGGATCCTACTCGTTTCCAGCTGCGGTTTCTCAGGCCAGGCTCAGGGTTCATGAGAATGTTAAGCGTTATGCTCGGAATTATGCCTCGCTTTTTATTCTCTTCTTTGCTTGTTCTTTGTAAGCTAAAACCCTATTTGTTCGTTCTTTCTTTCTTTCTGAATTGTTGTGGGTTTTGAGAATTAATTTGATTCTATTCTAGAATGAGGTAAATTCAGTTTTTAATTTTTCTGTTTGTTTCCTGAGAACGTTGTGAGCACAAAAAAACTTTGGATAGGTAAAACTTAAGAAAGTAATGATTGCATAGCCAACTTGCTTAATCACTTGTTTTCTGTTGTTGTCAATAGGTATCAGCTGCCACTTGCACTTGTTGGGTTGATATCAAGTTTGGCACTCTGGGATTTGTTCAGGTTCCTTAGTGATAAATGGGGATTGGATGGATTTCCTGCCACTCAACAGGTCTTAATTCGCATAGCGCAGTGTGGTGAGTTCTCATAACCTTTTCGTGCTTTTAAGAAGAATTGTTCATTGTGCTTGTAGAATTTACATGTAAAGCTTACTCAATGGCTCAATGCCTCGTTTGTTATTTTGTATTTGCTAAAGAAGAGCCCTCCAGGGTCCAAGAAAAGAGTAGATTGTCCTGGGAGTCTTAGTCAGAAGATTATTGTTTGGATGAACATTTTCTAGTCAGGATGTATTCTTAATAATGCAATCGGTTAAGCATATAGACACTGAAGGAAGGCGAGTGATAGCAGATGGAAGCTACTGTCTTTTGGTTTTATAACATTAACCTCATCTCATCTTTTGCAGCTACTGCAATTATTTTGATATGGTTGAATGTTCAAATGGCTCTATGCTGTGCCCTCGGTGTCAGTTATATAGGTAAAATGTTACATATTCTTCTCTACTTTTATTGATGTTTGTCTGATTTGTATGAACTTATAATTGTATGTGCTTTGTAGTTATGATTTTGCATGCTGCATTTCGGAAGCTGACTCCAGTAAAGCAACCTTCTCAAGGTAGACGGAAATAGGAAATCGCATCAAACTAAACAAGCATACGAGCAACCCCAGAATGTGGTTTTATTTTGCAGCCAAGAAATCATCAGCTTTTCTTCAATGAGATAGGGAAACAACCTCTGTAAAGCATAACAGCTTATATGCTAGATGATGCTTGTGTGATTCTAATCCTGGTCAGCACATGTAAAATGGCAGAAAAGGAAAATGCACTATTACTCAATAAACATGTGATAGAAGATCTTGTTTTGCAGTGTATCAACCATATGCTGATAGCTCTTACTATAACCTGTAATGTTGTTTTGCTGGTTTTAACTTGGTATATTACGACGAGAAAGCTCATGCACCTACTTTTTGCCCAGAAGTTGGCTAATTCATGCATAGTTTGCAGTTCTCCAGCTCCTGGGGGTCAACACCCTAAACTTTGCTAGTTGCAGAACTTGAATAGAATTTGAAGAGGTGAATATGCATTAAATTCCTAACTTTTTTTGTGCCTGTAATCTTAGGTCGCAGGCTTTTGCTCACAAATTTGTAACAATGTCTAACCCATAATGGATGGTTTGTTAATCTTGTTAAATGACAATCTCCTTTCATCCAGCCAGAAAAAGCTAAGTTGAGCCCCTTTTGTGCTGCTCAGCAATGCGCAGAACCTGCCGTAATTGAATGTTGCCCATGGCCGAGTTCTCTAATATTTCTGGAGTTAATGCTGTTCATTTATAATCCACCTTTGCGTGTAATGCAGTGGTCTAGACAGCCTTCATGATGCTTGGAGACATTGGAAGTGTTAATCCAACAGAAACACTATTGATAATTTGATATACTGGTTTGCTAGCTCCATTGCGTTTAAACATATTTTCCAGTTTAGAAATTGGGCAATAAGCCCAATATTATGCTCTTTGGTTTAGCCAACACGAAATGCATCAATGACTCAGAGGCTGTTGTGTTGCCCTATCATCACTCAGCAAAGCCAAGAGAAATGCAACAACCCTTGAAACTTCATTTCAGCTCTGGCAATGATCTCTTATGGGCCCATCACCAGATGGTTAAGGTGCCAATGATTCATGAAGTCTCCAATCCATTCATTCATGAAAATTACTAAATATCAAGGAAAATGAAGGGAACTATAAACTGTCAGCAAGTTCACTTGAAAGATTACAGTGAAGAGATTATTTTAATGAATGATCAATGTTTACTGAGATTACATCTTGTAATGTTGATAATAGCAAAACCTAATTATACACCAATGCTGCCATGGCAAAACAAAAATGTAAGATAGAAAATTAATCATAATGGATAATAAATACACAATTTCTTACAATGTTATGTACATCAAAATCAGAACAATTGCATTAAAGAAAACACACTGCAAAATGGAGATATAATCAAATCTCACAGTTTCCTTCAAGTTGGGTTGAGATCTCGCGATGTTTGGCTTTGCCATCTGCATCACATGAGAAGATTTCAGAACAGTTAGGTGCTATTAAGATCAACAAATTTGTAAATAGGACTTCACTATTTGTAAACCAGAGATCATTTGTTAGGTAAGGGAGTAATAATTCAACAAACCTAGAAAGTAAAAATCTAGCAAGTGGGCTCAAGTTGGAATTTGAATTAAGTTCTTTATGCTGTTGCTTTTTCCTACTATCAGTTTCCATGTTTGCATTTTGTGTATCTTCAGGAGTTGTCTTGCCCTTATTGAACATGCGAGCCGCTAGCTCCTGGATATCTTTCATTGAAGGTTCCTTCGAGCTGCAAAATTTTACCTCTGCTTGAGTTTCATCAGGACCAAGACAAATAACGTACAAAGGTGGTAACACTAAGATACAAAATAAATTATTTTCTTTCACAAATTTTTAACCTTGCCAATCGCTCGAGCAACCTGCGAACAAGAGTTTCACAAGATCCGGGCTTTGTACGCTCCATATTTATGAGAGAATTTGTAACTGCACGCGCAACAGACCCTTCTGAATCATCAGCAATCACCTACATTGCAAACATTGGCAAACTATTAAGATGCAATAGATAAGAGGAAACTGATTCAGACTTAATAAATGTTGCAGCTGATACAGAACAACAGGAAAGCAGAAGAATGGCTGCAGTAAACAGCTTCATCTTAGAACCATGTTCAGATGCTGACTTGAGTAAAGGCAGAAATTCACACAAACAAGCTCTTAACCTGAATTAGTGCCTTACACACATGCATACTTTTGCGTCAGGTCACTCCATCTACAGCACAGGTAAGGAATTTATTAACTAATTTTATAATCACCTCCTTTGGACTTGCTAATAATATTTACCCATATTAAGTTGCTCCTCTGCCTCAAAACAACTGTAGATCCATGTTCTACTAGTCAAAACATCTCAAATACCCTACCTCTTAGTGCTGGATTTTTCCATCTTCTACCTCAACAAAGTAAATTTTTATGATTGATTACCAACTCACTTAAGTAGGTACAGAGTCTTGTTTCACTCCTAACATTACATAAGGCACTTTGACCTAGATACATGAGAATCTGCACCAAGATTAAGTTCAATGTATTGCATACTTGATATCTGTATCATTACAAGTATCTACATACAGCCTCTGCATTGAAGATTGCTTAAATAGGAAGCATATTTCAGAAGTTACCTCTATCACACTAATTAGCAAGGAAAAACTTAGCTATAACATCAGGGTGCACACCTCTTTTAGGGAAGGGATAAGCAACATGGATAGTGATATAGACGATGATGCTATCTTTGCATTTTCTTCATCATCACTTGGTTGACGTGATCTTGGAAATACTCTTTGTGCATCAAAATATTCACGAGAACCTCTGAAATAGATTACAATACTTCAGAGATGATAACACAACCAAATAATAACCAAAGGTACAATAAATTCTGTATTGAAGATACGGAAAGTAACTTCGTTATCAGGCTTACCTGGAAGAATCAGAACTGTTACTCATTTGATCTCTTCTTCTATTTTCATGCCCAGGACTATTGAACTTGCTCAAAGCAGTCCTGTCCCTAACATTTAATTTCCTAAACCCCGCTTGAATTGCAGCCTTTGCCTGAACCGACATATTAAAAGATTAGCTTTTCAACAGAAAGCATGGTCACACTATATCTAGAAGCTAATAATAAATACAAATTCCATGGCAAACTCAGATTTCTACACGAGGAAATTGAGTCTCCAATAATCAATACGTCATACACCAAAACGTTCCAGGAAAACTCCAACTAGACAAAAATTAATGTATCTGACTGTGGACACAATAACAATAAGGAAAACAAGAAATTATCAAACAAGTGCATGTCAGATATATATGGTAAGGAAAATAGTTGGAACAAAAGTGGAAGTTATACAAATATCATACACCATATCACTATCATTTATCAATCAATGAAACATACACTCTATAGCCTGTTGATTGTAATTCACAACTAAACAAGAAAATCTAAAAAAGCTTTACAGTGCAAGAAAACTGATGACGAATGATGAAAAATAAAATAATAACTAAAAACCACCTCTGCAAGATTTGCTGCACTATCTTCAGCTGATGCACTCGAAGTTCTCTCTTGAATTCCTAGCCTGGATCTTGGTGTTCGAGGAGAATCAGAGTCATCATGTTGGCCACGAAAAACAACAGTTCCACTGGTAGAAGCATCTTCAAAAGAAGCATATGCGCTGCTAGACTACACAGCACATTGAAATCCAATAAAATCAATGTCTGGTACACAAAAGGCAACAAACTTTATCTACTTAATATTTTTGTGAACACAACTATGAAGTAAGTGAAGGAAGCTTACAAGAGAGCTTGGGTCACGAAATAACGCAGATGATTGAGATCCTCTGGGAGATCTTATGACAACAGTTCCGGACCCGCTGACAGATGTGTCATCCTGAATAAAGCAACAAAAACAATGTCACAAGATCTGAGCATAAAAGGGTCAGATATATATATATATATATACACATATATATATGCATATACATATACATGTATATATAGGATAGGTGTAAGAGACAGAAACAACAGATTATATGAAATTGGCTCTAGTTTGACAGAAACAGTTGGTGAATCCAGACAAGTGAACTTAATTTCTAGCCCCATCAGAGCAGGCAGGAAATGAATTCCCAAAAAATTTAAACAAATTACTACATTGCATGTCAACCTAATCCTGTGTTACTCTTCTCAGTCAATTTCTAAAAAACAACAATCTTTAAAGCCCCTTGATCATCCCATGCAACAGAGCTTTTTATTAAGGGCATAGGACAAAAGGGCAAAACTTACAATGCCAACAGCCTTTATGCAGTGAAAAGTTTTTACTGTGTGCAGGTGTGTGTGTGACTGCATGAGAGAGAGAGAATCTTACATCCTCTTGGTAATTATCCTGATGTTCATCATAATATGACTCCTTAGTGTCTTTTCCAAAAGAAACTTCTGGGAATTCATTGAGCGTGTTAACACTCTCTGGAGTTCTTGGTGTAGCTTGATTATATACAACTTCTAGTTTCCTTTCTCTAACCTGAGGAGGTCTTACAGCATTTCGGACAGTACCTGTACTCTGTGCTCCACCAATGCTGAAGTCCCATCCAGCATTCTTAAATGTTTTCCCCTGATTACTGCTGATCAGCACAAGTCAGCAAAAATCCCATAAAAAACAAGGAAGTACAACTAATCAACACAATTAACCCACCTAGCTCGAACAGTTTCTTCACCTCTTATATCTCTTGTCACCTTCACAGTGTCAGTTGACTCTCCTACAGCTTTGGGGCCATTTCTGGGGGTTTCTGCATCTTCCTTTAATTGGTATTTTGGGCGCTCTCTATTAAGAAACAAAAGGCAACCATCTTAACTATAATAGCCAATGCAAGAATGATACTCTAAACTTAGCATCCTCTAGTCATAACATGTCAGGAACATAACTAACACCATAAGCATAATTTAGAGTGTTCCAAGGTGCTTTGACAGCTCAAAACGGTGTTGATAAAGCTTCCTATCATATGTAAATATGAAACACTAGGTACAAGCATAGCACCTAATTCTCTCCAGAAGCCTCTGACTCTTCCTAGCATTCCTGATAAAACGATGCTTGAGAAGTTCCTTGGCACTAGGCCTCTGAAATTGAACAGATTAAAGAAAAGCATAAGGCATTGTACAGAATTCAGAAATAATCAAGCCGATATCCCAGGATCACTCAACTTATACACATCAGAATTTAGAAGCGCATACACCAACAGTTATGTTGCATTTTAATTGGCAGCTGACGGAGTTCAGGAAAAAACTAGATACAACAAAAATCCATTTTGTAACATAATCAAAACTAAACTTCTACACCTTACTCTACAGGTTGTGGGGTCAACCACGAAATCCGTTTCCTCCTACATTGGGAAGAAAAGGAAATAAGGAAAAAGTTTCCCCATATGTGATTTGCGGACAAATAACCAAAAAGATGTATTTCCTTCCATTTCCAATATGCAGAAATTTCAAAATATGTCACTGCTAATGGTTAAAAAACAATCAAGAAAACTGGCAGCTTAGCTTTAAATGAGAGAGAGAGAGAGAGAGAGAGAGAGAAGACAAATTCCAAGATATCTGAAAACAGAACAAAGTAGCCAAAAGTATCAGCTAAAACAATCAACAGCTCCACAAGTGGTCCCTTTGAAGTAAAATCTGTAACGTAGATCTAGTGCATGTTTCAATCCATTAACAATATATATTCAATTAGTAAATAAGAAATAGTTCAAAGTAAGAAAATCCTCCAAGAAAGCATAATTGATTACCTCAGCAGGCACTTTCTTTAAACATAAGGAAACAAATTCTTTCATAGGGCGAGAAAAATGCTCGTCTAACTGCAGGATAGAAATTTTGGTTACATTTAAATTGTAAAGAAGGATCATTCCATCCAGAGAAGGAAAAACATAAGAACAAATCATTTGAAATGAATGATAACAAAACTCTTGAGATTACCTGCGGTGGATTTTCTCGAGGTATTATAAAAAGAACTCTCATAGGGTGAAGGTCTGCAAGTGGCGGCTCTCCTTTGGCCATTTCAATCACTGTTATGCCCAAAGACCAGATATCTGCCTGTATCAACCAAATAGTCCCAGTGATGGAATGCTCATTATTCAACACAACTCAGCAGACAAAGATATTGCAGGCTGTGCACGTGTGCCTAAGAGGGAGAGAATGTGCGGATGGAAAGCAGGTGAATGCATAAAGACATGCCAGAAACTCAAGAGAAAACTCCAAAGCACTGCTTTTAGAACTACCTTCTCATTGTATCCTTCAGAATTCTGAATCACTTCTGGTGCCATCCAGAATGGTGTTCCTACAAAAGTCTGACATTGTTAACCATATTAGTTCATTGACGATCATATGACAATCACACAATTTGTAACACTGATTGCATTATAAAGATTACGAATTGTAGGGTAAATGGAATGTGAGCAAATTTTTTAATCCTTTTATAAATATCATTCAAATTTCTCTCCAAGACAACTCGGCATTTCTATGGTTCTGGTGGCAGTGAATACATTGGAGGTAAAATTCAAATAAATGGCAATCGTTCTACAATACCACGAGAAAGCAGCCTTTCGAAAAAGCAGTTTACAAAGAAAACAATTCCAGATTTGATGGTATGGAAACATACAGATAATAGTTAGAAAGGAGAGGTATTGAGAACAGAAAAAGGTTGTGCTCCAGAATCATTTGTGATCTTGCATGCACTACCAAATAGAACCCCTTCAATTCCAGATCGAATGTCCAACCTTCAGTTTTGAGACATAAATATTATGTCCTGTTTTCCTTTTTTGAACACCTAAAAACCTTACTTTTTACATTTACAAATAAGTTTTTCAAATTTTCTTCTTCATGGCATTAAAAACCATGAACAGCTATATTAAAAGAAACTAAATTCTAATATAAAATACCTTATAGTGATTTTTTTTTTCCAAAAACTAGATGTCAATTCAAATGTCGACCATCAATTTATTATGGAAAGGGCATATATCAAAGCTTTCAGTATATTAAAACTTATTTGGGAAAAAAACCTTGTTATAAGTAAGCAGCTACAGAGTATATAGGAAGGTTCAGAGAGAAAGAAAGATGATCACCGACCAAAGGACCTGTCTACATTTCTTTTCTTTTCTCTAAAAGAAATGAACACTAACTAAAATAAGTTAACTTTTTCCCTAGAATGTAAGAGAAAATGGCCAGAAATCACAAAGTCACTCAAGCCATAAAAATTAAAAATTGCTGCAGCCAAAGCCTGAAAAGAGCAATCATGCTTATTGGAAAAGTGATGCATCTTAATGAAACAATATACCGTACCTTCCTCCTTGATATTGTCCTTGTTAATTGCGCTGACACACCGAAATCAGCAACCTGTTACAAGGACATATACTTAACTTCCAACAGCAAACTGCATATATCTCCACCCATTTTATACATTTACTCAAAGCCACTCTATACAAATAATTTGATAACATGAGCCCATTTGAGAGAAAGAAAAGTACCTTAACATCACCATTCTCAGTCAATAAAATGTTTGCCGCTGCCAAAGTGATAGCATAAATGTTGTCATTGAACAAAAAATAAGCCATTAAAACCAAAAAACACTTAAACAAATTAAATGAAGGTTGAAAACAAAAGAAACAAATAATTTGAAACAGAGCATGGCATGTATACAAGCCTCTTAAACAAAATGTTCTAAAATTTTTCTTATGCTCTCTGGGACAACTATGTTTATAAGAAGATTAGGGAGAGGCAAAGGAAAACAACCTTTGATATCTCTGTGAATCTTCCCTTCATTATGTAAGTATTCAATTGCATGCAGCAAATCCCGTGAGATGCAGGCAATTGACATTTCATCTAGTGGAGGGCCTGATTGGAGCTGTACATAAAAATTCATCATTAACTTTCCAGAAAACCTAAATGTTATTCAGGAATTATATTGCATCAAATCAGAAAAAAAAACAAGTGCACCAACACAAATATAAGCAGAGGAAGACTCATTCATATGCAACCAGAGAAATAAGAGGAAATTAGTCGTTGTATGTACCCAAAATTAAAAAAAAAAATTCAAATCAGAAATTGTGTGCTAACACTAGAACAGGAAAAGAAAAAGAGAATAGCAAGGTCTAGTAAAAAAATGCATTGAGATTGAAGCTAAAAGCACGAAGAAAAAAATGTTGTACTAGTACAGGAAAGATGGCAGCAATGCGTTTATAATTTTGCAATTACCATTACCTACTTTAGTTGACATCACACTGAAAGGTAGTTATATAGAATCTTTTATACCAAAAACACAATGAAAAAAATGTTATTTCAATGTTTGAACATGCGCGCTAATGCGTATTCATAAAATTTAATACATTTTGTCAAACCAAAAAAAGAATAACAAGAGTTCATATAAATTGGGAAGCAAAACTTCCTAGTTAATCTTCACTTCCAATGTCATGCACCAAACATGTAGAAGCAAGTAATAGAAGTCACCTACTAGGTCAGCAACTGAACCACCAGCCATGTATTCCATTATTATCCATAGTTTAGTTTGGTGAAGATAGGAACCATAATACTCAGTGATGTATTGAGAACGGCATTGTGACAAAACAGAAATTTCCTGGAACAAAACAAAACGTATGAAAAACCTAAAGACCAACTCATTAAAGGGTTAGGATACTAGCTCACGAGAAAGTGAGGTATACCTTCTGGATGTCCTCAATTTCATCCTCACTACAGAAATGCGAAACAAAGGCAAACATAAGAAACAGCTAAAAAAATCAAGAGCAAAATAAACACAAAGTGAATGAAAGAAGTTGTTATATGCCCCCATCTACTTGCTAGTAAATAAAGGCATCTGTAAACTCCCATACAAGTTGATGAACTATAATGGAACTTCTGGAAATGAAATTGATAAAGGAAAGATAAATTTCCTTTAATGAACACGCACAAACTATTGATTCAATTATACGTATCAAGCAACATTGGTTTCCTCACAATAAACTCACACATATACTAGTGACCAAGAGTAAGAGGGGGGAAGAAAAATAGAACAAGTTAATACTTAACAAATGAACAACGAACAGAAGATCATAAACAAGACTTTCTCGCTCATAGCAAGCACCTGCTGTTTGACACATGAAAGAGGAATAAATCAAAGAAAAATTAACAAAGCTATCCACTTACGATTCCTCTAAATCAATTACTTTAATAGCAACTTCTTTGTTCAGTTCCTTATCAAACCTGCAAATCAAGAAAGGCATCAGCTATTAATCTCATTTTCATCGACCTTGAGTCATGATTCAAACAGTCATGGCATATCCAACATGATTATGGGTAAGAAATTGGCATAGATGTGTTGCAGTACAACTAGCACTGACATAGTCAAGTAGGACAAAGCACCATATATGCTTCAACTATGAAATAGAATGTCCACTCTCTGACTCATTTGAAAAGAATCAATGTCAGTGGTAAAACCAATTACCAAAAAGCCAGTAGCGTAATAGTTACAAAGTAAAAGCATAATTTGCATAAACAATGTACCATTCAATTTCAGGAGGCATTCCCTGGTAATTAAGGCTCCATCTTTCAAAAATATGAGCCTAATCTCTTTAAGTGAACTCAAGAAAAGGAGACCAACTAACAGTTTGCCTTGATAAGCAAAATGGGATACCAGTTTTGACATGAAGTGGGCTCTATTCCAAAGGTTAGCCTTTTGAACATTGCTTGCTTTATTTGTAAATCTTCAATCTTTATACCATTTATCAAGGTAAGCACTTCCTATGGAAATGGCATCCATTTCTTTAACGAAAAAGGAAAAATGAAAGAACAAAAATTAGATAGAGACTGAAACAAGACCTTTTCAATCATATGCACATCCATCCCTCTTCACAAACAGGAACCAAGAAGTCAAAGATCTACTAAACAAATAAACAGATGCCACTACCTCATGCCAAATTCCATGAACTAACTGAGTCAACATAATATGAAGTGCAGATCAAGAAAAAACAGGCTAGTACGCAGACCTTATTCACTCAAGAAGTATTTGTATTTGTTTATCACTTAACAAATGCTACATCTAGATTAAGCAATGCAGAAGAGGAGAAGGAAAATATGAAGAGAATAAAATATCAAAGGGAAATTAGGGAGACAATGGTGATGGGAACAAAGGAAATTGGAGAACAAATAGAGAAAAAGTGAAAGAAAACCAAGGGAGAGGGAAATTTCTTATTCAAAATTCCAAATCCCAATAATTCATAATCCAAAGCTACCAAAAACAGAAATAATATAGCTAAACCCCAAATCCTAGGATAAACACAAAACACCACATAAACCCTAAAATACCCTAAGTACGAAAAATTACTATTGAACTCATATAACTGAAGCCCTAAAAATTTTTAAGTCTTCAATCAGCTTCCTTTTATCTTGCATCAATAAGAAGTGACATTGCAGTGTAACAAGGGCCAAATAAATCATTAAATATTGCATTAGGCCAAGTACCTTTTACACCACAAGAAAGTAAAATAGTTTACCAATCTCAAGAAATATGTGGGCAACAATAAAAGAAAATTTCAATTTTAAATAGTTTTATAAACGGTTTAATAAGGAACATTCACATACAAATCCCATTAGATAAAAAGCTTATCTATCCACCTTTTAGTTCTTTAATTGGCCTTTGGTTTCCTCACTTTAATTAAAAGCTTATGTTATTCACTGAAAAAACTTATTTCTTTAAATAATCATCAACCATTATGAATTCACAATATCAGTTCACTTTCCTTTACATGACAAACAATTCACATATCTAAATCTAAATTTTTATAGACCAGCTTTGGGAAGTTCTAATGCACATTTTGATCTCAAGAACATATATATAGGTTAGGAAAGAGTCAATTGCATTTCATTGATAGATCCATTAAATTTATTGTTTTGTGCCTCTTTAAGCCAACAAAATCAGAGGGACCACACCCATTAAATCACTAAATTATGAGGTTTCATAATTCCGTCCACATGACACAAAAATTGAATCTTCTTTTCTTTTTTACTTTCTTTATTTATTTATTTATTTTTTTGATCAAATGAGGGCACTCCTCAATGATTAAAAACATAATATAATTAAAATTCAGTTTCTTGAGGACACTCTACATTTGCAACCTTGCACTTCATTCTAATAGTTCATCAAAATTACCAATGCTCCTAGATAATACACAAGTGCCTAATTTTGCAACTGTCATTCTCCAAGCCTATTTCATTATTAACATATACTAAGTTATGTGCCTATCTCAGGATAATCCAACAATTCAAATTTCACAGAATCAAACCAGTATTAATGAAATAACAAATATAATTGAATAAAGTTATTATAATGCTCACAAAGTTATCAGATGTCTCCATAAACCCCTACTTTAATTGTATAAAATTAAGTAGTCAATTTATGCCTTGTATTCAATTAATAACCGACTGACCTTGAGGCTCCTTTTTCCCCCACTCACAGGAAGATCTTTTTTCTTTATAAATTAACAGAGAGAGAGAGAGTACATATCTCAAGGGCATTATATGTTTCAACTTAGACTGTAAAAGATTTCAGTTCAACAATGGCATTGGTATCATTAACACCATTCCGAGAATCTACTCTTATCAAACACCAAAATACTACTAAATCATACACGGCGAACAAAGTTCTACAATGCGCAGGATAATACATTCAATCAGTACTAACACTGTCACATTCATATGAAGCTCTTTTCTTAGAACAAAATGATAATAAACATTGAAATGCACTCAAGCAATGTGATAATGAAAGAAATTGAAATAATAAACTTACGCTTTATAGACGTCCCCAAAGGATCCTCTGCCAATCAACTCCAACTGACTAAATCTAGACCCTGCTGCTTCTTGTAAGCCTGCTATGTCAGCCATTTCTACATACAAACCCCTCGGACACCAAAGATCAAAACCACCCCAAAAATTCGACCCCTTCAAAAAACATTCACATTCCTCCCATTCTTCAATTAGAATTCAATACCCATTTCCAATTTGCCAAAACCAGCCTCAAAAAACCAACCCCTGAAGGAGAAATTCAAAACAAAACCAATCAATATTCTCGGAAAAAAGCACACGTATAAATAACAAAAATAAAAGCATACCCCAAAAAAAGAAAACCCACATTTCAAGATCTAAAAACCCCCAAAAAATATGAAAGCAGAAAATGCCCATAAGCTCTTACACTGTAAGCAAAGCATATACAAAGAGATACCCAAAAAAAAAACACACCCACAACAATAAAAAATTTCCTTTTCCGTTAGGTGAAAGACAGGATATGTTAAAGTGACAGGCGAACAAAAACAACATGAATTCTTACAAACAAATTTTACAACTGCCCATTAATCTCTCTCCTTTGATAGTGAAACCGCAACGCCCCACCGTGTCTTAGAAAAAAAAAAACAACTTAGTTTTTCGTTTCATTATGTTCTTTTTTCTGTTGGAAAGTAACGTGTTTTTCTTTTAATTTTTACCTGTTTGATTTTTGGCAGATCTTTCTCTTTCGTTCTCTCGATGTTTGTTTGTCTCTCTACAGAGAGAAAGAGAGAGGAATTTTCAGAGTTTTGAAAGAGGTCGAGAAAATTAATAAAAAAAAAGTGTCTGTTAATGGAGTTTCTGCGCTTTGTAATTTCCTTTGTAATCAAAACGCAGCGTTTTGAGGGTTTTGTTTGCACATGCGTCAACGACTCGATGGACGGCCCGTACTTTTGTCTGCTTTTATTTGTTCTGTCTTTTAACACTCAACTGGGCCGAGCCAGGACGACCCACTCAGGACAATGACAACGCTCAGTGAGGCCCAAGGTTCTTGATTAGTATTAAACTAAAATTTACCACTTAAAAATTTTTATCACATGGGATTTTTGATTCCGTGATACCACACCTCATATTGGATGTAAATTTAATTATTATGACTTATACAAAAATATATAGGTCTAAATAAATTACTATTAACCATTCGAATTTCTTTTAAAAGGTCACGTGAAAGTTGTTGAGTTAGTATTTTTTTTATTTGAGTTTGTGAATATTATATTATCATTTTATCAAAAAGTAAATATAAAATATTACAAGTCTTTAAAAATAAATATATCATTTTTATTTTTAATTGGACAACAAAAATAACTCCCTCTACATATTGATATTGAAAAAACTAACCCTAACTCTATATTTCTTGGTTAGGTAGGTGAAGTAGCCTCATCATATTACCATGATAAAAACAAATAGAAACTTTATGATTTTGAGTTAGAAATTTACAAGGGCTTATTTATTTCAACACTTTCAAGCTTAATATACATCATGTATTGAATTATTTCATGAGATAACAAATAGCGAGATGAAATAAATTATTCAATTGTTGTTCATGACAATTCAATTTTTTTTTTTAAAAAAAAAAATAAATCCATATATTTACTTATATAAATTTTCTAATTTACAAATTTTAAACTAAATTTAAAAGAATCTAGAGAGGATCGAGTTGTAAGAGAAATGGAGAAAGGGATAGTGCAATCGCATAAAGTTTTGGAAACTCAAAATCACACGACTCCAATTGAAAAGGGAGAGTTGAAGAAGAGTGGTGCTCTTGATGAACGTAGTGAAGATTGCTTTGGGGTAAAGTTGAAATGGTGAAAGAGCTTTGTCCCGGTTCGGAGATGATGGCGTGATAGGGGTTTTGTCTCGAGTTGAGAGGATGGGGAAGATGAGTTAGAAGTGAATAAAAAAAATTATCATAGGATTGGTTGGTTTATAAATTAAGAAGAGGTAATAGAGATAAGAATAAGGTACGTAGAGAGGTTTTCTTCATAATGAAGGAGAGGATAGGGCACTTCAAGAAGAAGCAGATGAGGCGATGCAGCTCAGTCCTAGTTGTAATATAGAGTTATATCTAGCAGGAGCTGAATGCCATAGAAAGTCTAAGTTGAAGAACTTACAAACTTACAACGGCATGCAATGGCTTCTTTACCACTCCAATATAAAAACATGACCTTTTAAAAAAATGGGGATGAACTTATTTCCATAGTGAATGCTGCAATTTGTATCGAAATGGCGTACAAGAAATTTTAGTAATTGATTAATTAGTATTCAAAATTTAATATTAATTTATTATGTATATGTGTTTATATATATATATATAACGCGTATGTATTTATTTATGAAAATTTTAACATGATAAAAAAATTAAAAATCATAATAAATGATGCAATATCACTAATTGTATTATTATTAATTTGTCAGGAAAGGTGACCATTGGTTTTACATCCTTGGCATCACTGTTGCTATAATTAATAGGATAATTGTTGAAGCCATTAAGAGGTTGTGTCAAGAGGTTGGCATTAAAGTATACTGAATGACCTTTATGAAAGCAACACTCTCTCTTTTTCTCCAGGTTTAAAATGCTACAAGCAACCATTCATGGTAGGGATTTTAAATCTATGGTGAATGTTGAATGAATTCTGTCTGGTTCTCCACATATATAGGATTGAAAGCACTTGTAAACCTAATTTTGGTGGAGGTCATTAAGCTTTTGTACCATAAAATTAGAATTAAATCTCTACCTGACCAACAAGTTTTAAATGCTCCAGAGGTTTTCTGGTCCAACTCTTCTGATAAACAATGCAAACCTTCACTGTCTCTGCGTGTCAAACATGCAAAAGAAATTCATGGTTACGGACAGCTTTCAAAAATGTTTGGTGGGATTGAACTGGAAATGTTGAATTTGGTTGGTGAGGGGGAGATGTTCTGGTGAGATAGTACATGAGCCAGATCCTGCCCAGCATTCTTACTGTGACCTACAAAGCTGGTTAGGATCTGAGAGCAATAGCTAGCAAAAATCAAAACCTAACCTAATGATTATGAGCCAAAAGAAAAATTATTTGACTAATTTCCATCAGCCCAATTCAATTCATCCATACTTTTGATCCTAAAGAACCTTGACAACCATGTCTGGATTTGGGTTGCTTATCCTAGATTGTTTTTCTTGTCATCTCATTGATTCCTAACCCTTTCTTTCTTTTGGAATCATCTGATAAATCCTAACTCTTTTTTCTCCTTAAAGATTTGGTGAGGAAAATTGTGGAATTTGTGTCTTTGGGTTGGTACTTGTAAGGGGACATTACCCTTAACCAAGCTTGTTTCTTATTCATAATTATTTTCGGGCCTGGATCCACTTGCCATTTCCAAGTAAGCTTATCATAGTTTGATTAACAATTATGTCTTGAAACAGCTTAAATGATTACATAAAGCATTGGATTCACTCCAAATCATTCATAGGTCTACCAGGGACTAATTAATAATTCCAATGAAATTGTAAGATATTGCTTTGAACCAACAATTCAAGTCAGCATTAAATAGTTAACAAGGGGGAGCTTGTGAAAAACTAATAAGCTAAATTTGGTTAATTAATTTGACTTGTAAATACAACTTTTATAGTCAATTTACATGTGGATTAGTTACGTTTTATCAACATCTTTACCTATAATTAACTATCACATGTGTGCCACATGTTGTGAACTTCTTATTAGTCTTTGCTTGGCTCAATCCCAACCAAAATTCCACTGCTTCTTGGAATGGGTTGGAAGGGGTGGAAGGGGTCAAGGGAGACAGTTAAAAAGAGAAAGTAAAAGATGAAAAGAGATATTGACTATTGTGTAATATATGTTTAAAGATTATTATTTTATATATAGACAATAAAATTTTTTAACTTTATAAATAACTTTATAAGATTATCACGTGTCAGTTTAGTACTTATATCAATTATAACTTAACTTATTTGTAAAATTTAAAATTTTATTTCTATTATAATCTTAATGCCCAATTCCAAATAGTATATTTTGTTATCCACATACTTAAGAATAGTTCACAACAATCTCATTACTAATCATTCATACACACATATATATACATAAAAAAATATATTTTATATTCGATTAGATTGAACAATTACAGTATTTGATCACGACAATAACTACTGTTTTATGGGTTCCTAGCACATTAGCAACCCATTAAAGTGTCACTTTATGTTTCGTCTCTTTGTTTTTTTTTTTTTTTAATTTCTATATCTTTAAGCAACTTTGTAGGGATATGAAGTAACCACGTAACCTTACACTTCAAAAGACTGCAAATATTGTTATGCTCATAGCATCTAAATAAAACACAGTTCCAATTCCTTTAATGTCACCAAAGTGTCAACTTTAGAAATGCCAACTCAGTTTTTTTCTCCTTAAATGTGTATGGTACTGAATAGGCCAAACTTTCTTGGCATATACGCATGCGTGCACATGAAATATATACACAAAAATATACATACAAATATGTAAGGGATTAGTATTATTTTATGTATTAAACCCTAAACTTTATGTAGTTTCACAATGGGAGGCGGATGCCATCCAAAATGGAGGATCGAGTTGGTTCTATAATTCAAGGAACCCATCAAGGTCTTGGGAAAATAATGAGAAAGTATTGATTGGGGTTGATTAAAGGGAATTTTTGCATTGATTCATCAGTGTAGAATGAGTCTTGTCATATCCAGTTTTCTGTTTATAATAAAAAAAAAACTAAAACTTTGACTAGCATTCCTTTAAATCCGATTTAACAATGAATACAAATATAAATACTTTTTTTTAAAAAAAAAAGCAAACCCTAAAACTATTTTTCTTTGTATTTTCATTAGCTAAATGAGATGAACTTAAACTAAAATTTCCAAACTTCTAAGAAAACAAGATATCATTGGTATTATTACCAAACACTTCTAGAAAGATAAGATTCATGGGTTTAAAACATCTTGAAAATCAACCAAAAGATTACAAATAATATGAAAATTAACATCCTTATATAATGATAAAATCAAGATTTTACATAATAGATAACTAAAGGATAATTATAAAAATAATTATACTATATATATATATATATATCAAATTATATATATAATAATAATAAATAAAAATTAAGAGATAATAGTCATCACTACCCATCACTCCCTCCCTGGATTCTGTTGATATTCTTATATAATAGATGATGCAAATACCAAATAAACCTTACGATCAAGTCCCAATTCAATAATGATGAAAAAAAATGGAGATTGAATATAATATATAATCGTGACACTTATCTTGAACGTAGCTTTATATAATATTGATGGAGGATTTATAACATTGAAAGAGCCTTTTGTCTAGACACGCGTAGGATTGTTAACTATATGCCATGTTCATGCATCACCTCACGTGATCGTCAGGTTTTTTTTTTTTTAATAGCTGCAAGTTGGAAAAGAGGGTTGGTCTGTCCAGAGATATCAGAAATTAATAATTACTACACTTAAATAAACACATCAAGGGCTAAATTAAAGGGAAAAAAAATTGGAGAGGACCCACTAACATAAAAGTAATTGTTTCTTCCCAAAAGGAATTTCGTTACTTTCCATCACCCCATTTTCGATTTCTTTATATTAGACATTGTTGATTGATGCATCATGTAAAGGAGCAACGAAAGGTTTTGCAATGATTTCTTATAGCTTAATTCTAATCGTGACTGTTTTTAACTATTTAAAGGGTTAAATTTAGTTCAAAAGTTGCATCATCTTTTATTAATTATAGTTCAAATGACAATTTTTGTATTCGTGCTTA